CCCATTTACTGGAAGTAAAACCTACATATTACTATTCAGTGTATCTGTATGATGGTTGTGTGTTATTCAACACCACTCTCACTACGTTTCCCTGAGTGCACTCATTCTCCTAATGGGGAATACCTCAACAAATGGGATCAACACAGGAATAACATATAAGAGTTTGTGACTAGGTTGGGCCTTCCAACTTCTTTAGAAATAAAACACTTTTGAAAACAAAAAGCAATTCAAGCAAAATATGCTACCAAAATGAACCAAATGAGTTTAAAAATGATTTCTACAATCAGTGAAATGATATAATTAGCAAAAGCTTTGAGGATAACAAAAATGAAGGGAGACTGGAGTAATATTAAGAGCTTCCTCCTCAAATTACTCCTTGCTTAACATCCTTTCATTCAGTGATGAGTCAACGTTCAACAGTATCCCAAAAAAGGACTTAAGATTACTCCTTAAAAATTCAAGCCATTGTAGCACCACTGCAGTTATGTGAACAAAATTAGAGGCCTACTTGCAGATAGCCACATCCTCTGTTGTGATATGATTGTTTCTTTCAAAAAAAAATAACCAAAGAAACAATAACAATAATAATCGGGTAACATGACTGACTTTTGGCCACTGGCCTTCCTACTGTTGCCAGTGGCCACCAGCCCCTGGCCCTATCTACCACCACTGCAGTGCCCGTCACATTTCACGCCACTACTATACCAGCCACAGACTTCTTTCATGTCAGCAGAGTTGGGACCTTCTTATATACACCAGTCAGGTCCTTCTTATGAAAGTGGAGGTCCTGGGCGGGATATACAAGAGAAGCCCCAGCTGGTACCTGAGAGACAACCTGGGGTAAAAGTAGGCCATGGCTAGTACAATACTAGTGTATTGTATGGCAGGCACAGCAGCTGTGGGCAGGGCTGGATTGCAGGGGCAGCTAGCATCAGCGAGTACACCAGCAGTCAAAAAGGCAGTGATGGAGGAAAGGAAAGTAGATAAGGAGAGTTGAGGTGAAGCAGACCGATAACTTTTTCCAAAAATGGCTTGGATCCAGGTAGGTCCTCACCTGATGACTACATGGGATTCAATCAACAAAAGCAATTGCAAATGCCATCACTAAGTGGAGTAGTTATATGATGTTTCACTTAATGACTGCATCACTTAGTCACAGAGTTGCCAGTTTCAGTTAGAGTCGTTAAGTGAAAATTACTTGTACACAAATGCAGGGAGTGGCATTACCAAGATCCTTATAAAGTTAATGAATTGGTCCATCGTTGTCAGTGATCATCCAAATACTAACCAATAGCTTAACATGACACTCAGGGAGTCTCAATCTATACAGCAGTTCAAATATACACAGTTCTCATTCTCCCTACCTGAGATGGTACCTAGTAGTTCGGAAGAAAAACCCAGCAACCATTTGAGAACAGTGGCATTTTAGAATTTAATACTCCTACATCAGGGGTGTCAAACTTGCGTCGTCACGGCATTGTCACATCACGTGTCACGACTTTTTCTCCCTTCGCCAAACCGAGCATGGGCGTGGCCAGTGTGTGACTCATTCGGCCCGTGGGCCATGACTTTGACAGAACTGTCCTACAGGAACGGGAACAGTATGATTTTCATTTTAATCTAAGAGTTAAAATTTACCAATGAAGTTCATTTCCTAACAATATTTTTGATATAAAAGATACTATTTGGGGGGGGCAGGAGGGGGCAGATCAGTCAGTAGGATTTCATCCGGAGGACTACTAATCCATTCTGACAGATCTCCAGTGAGAAACTGTACAGTGCTATGAAGGCAAAGATTTCCTGTTCACAAAAAGCTTCTGGAGCCTGAATGAGCAGCGCCACATTAATCTAAAGTGAAAATCCTCCTCACAGGGTGTCTGCTGCCAGCCTGCTGAGTTGTTAATTTTATCAATGTGCCCCATACAAGTGTGTGTGCTTCAGGGACACTCCTCTAGAAGAGTAAGGCACGTATTAATTTCCACACCTCCCCAGAGCTGGCAAGGCCACTCTCATTAATCACAACCTGGACACAAATCATATTTACTCGCATCCTAGGGTATTTCATTTCTTGCCTATATATAAATAGAAGTAGCACAGGCCATTGGGCAATAATCTCTTTATTGTGCAGAAAGGCCTGCATAATGTCAAAGGTATTACTGTAACGGAGATGGCTTTCTATTAGACAAGACTGACTGAATCGGGGGGGGGGGGGGGGGGGGGGGAGAGAGAAATGTCATGTTAAGTTCTGATAAAAACAAGAGACTACCTAAAATGCTCAAGTTATGGATCAGGGGTGAAATCCAATGTGGCATTTCTGCTGAAGAAACTGTTTCAGAGAATCACTAGGGGCTGGGAATGTTTCCACAGCCTGCAGAAAGCTTAGCTTTCTAATTTCTAATTGCTTAGCGTGGGATTTTACCCTATAAAACCTGACTGCATTCATATAAATGGTACTATTGTGGTGAAATGTTTAGTTCCTTACAGGACTTCCATTGTTGTTTGTTTTCTGCTGATAAATATCCATGGTTTTTCTCTACATTTCAGTATAGACTGTGTTGGCCTATATATCTACATACTATGTTAATCACAATTTGCTTAATCATGGTTTGTTCCATAAGCCGCAACTGATTGGGAATACACATTATACTTTATTAGCTGCATCTACCAATCACAATATCTGGATATGAACATCAACCAAAATCTATTATAATTTAGTGTGAAGTCACCCAATGCTACCTGCCCTGTCTTCCCTATCTTTACACAAGGAACTTTATACAAGGAACTTGGGAAACTCCCCACTTCAATGCACAAGGCACTCTTCCACAGCCAGTTGTCAAATTCCTTGTAGCTTCTATTGAACTTTTGTGCCACTACAAGTGCCCTCATGGCTATCTCCTGTAATTTCAATGAACAAGGAAGCTGATCAACAGGAGAACCCTGACTCCGTTTTCCTTATTTCCTCACTGTATCTTCTTTTGTGACAGAATTCCTGTGACTGTGAATGAGCATAGATTGAGATGGGCAATGAAGGTGCAAAGTGTTCTGATTCTAGAGCAGGGGCGTCAAACTCAAGTCCTGCAGGCCAGATCCGGCCCATGAACTGCTTAGATCTGGCCCATGGGGCTGTCCTGGAAACAGTGAAAGACCAGCCCATGGTGCCTCTGCCAGCAAAAATGGAGCCTGGAGGGGCCACACATACCCCCCACCCCAGCTCCGTTTTCAGCTGCAACAGCCTTCTGCAGCCTCTGCCACACATTTCCCTGAGGTCACACATAACCCTGGTGCAGCCCTCAGTGAAATTGAGTTTGATACCCCTGTTCTAGAGGCAGAAGTAAGAAAATCCAGAAGTCACTTCATCATTTCCTCTGAAACAGAAGCTCAATCAAATCTTAATCAGCTCAGTTTTTTAAGCCCCAAAGTATCATATGAATGGACAAGACAGATTTTTTTTTATGTGGAGCAGGGACCATTTTACTATTTTGTATTCGACTGTACATAACTTTCTTATTAAATTAATCAGATTTTATACACTAGCTGTTAAACTACTTGATACACTAGTTTCTTCTATATTTCTCTACTTTTTGGTTCCAACACTAAGAGAGGTCATATTCACCCCTATCCAACACATTTATATATCTTTAAGGTGTTCTTTTTATGCCTCATCTTCTACATGTCTCACTAAGAGATATCTATTATTTTATACTCCTTACAATTAATTTAATATCAGATCCTTGGTCCCAGCAGCCAGAAGGTTTGATGAGGCAAGAACCCGGTAAATAGGCAAATGGATCACACAAAAACTCCACAGAATCACAATAGGAAAAAAACACCCACATTTACTATGCTTTCAAATGTACTGAGGCAGACATAATTTGACTACTCTGGTATCCCAGAGGTCCAGAACTGTTTCCAACTGACTTAGAATTCTCGTGTGGAAATCCTCTAAAAGAAGTAATGCTGAGTTGAAAACTGCTTTGGAAGATTCCCAAAGTTTTCCACTGTGAAAGAGGTTTCAGTTTTTCTGTGTTCTTCTGAGAAATTCTACGATACTCCACTGATATTTTTTTTCTTTGTTATCGGAGAAAACTACTGCTGGCATTATTGTTTTCTGGTACACATTGTTCTATAACCCTGGAGCTGGATGTTTATACTTTTACAATTGTAAACACCTAATGTGAGAAGTTACCACATGATTTATTTCCTTGGATTTAAGTCAAATCTGGGAGGTTGCAAACTGCTGAAAGGAGAACCATGCAATGAACGACCTTTGCACACCTGCTGGGCATGGCACAACAAAATAAGTGTAAGAACATAATATTCTACCTAGTAAATGTCACTGAAAGTCTCACCTTTGAAAAACAATTGAAAGAAAATAGTCTTTGATTAAACTAAATAAGGACTGGCAAGAAATATATTTACAGAGGCAATTTTGTTCAAATTGTGAATGTAAAATTTAAAACTTCAAGCTATTTCTTTAAAAATTTAGTTAGCTGCCAAATTCTCAATAATGCAATTTGCAATATATAGGATGTTGAATTACAATATACACGATAGATGATGAAAACTCACAACAAAATGACAAATTGATTACATGAAGCTAGAGCTAATAACGAACTGTTTCAGAGAAATTGCTGTGTCATCACTGCATCACTGAAACCTGGTTAAAGTATTCCATCCCGGATAGTGCTTTTAACTTGGGTGAACTTTTGACATTTCAACTTATTTTCTTTAGAGAGCTGACATCAGAATTTCATTTTTTAATGTGTGCTAGTGTGTTCACAGAAAAAAAAAGTGACAATAAAGCTTATCTTACCTTATTATTAGTGGGGCACATATATACTACACCTCGCAGGATTGGCTCATTAAACAAGCTGGTTGCTACACCCAAAGATGATTGAAACCTCAATAGCCCTCAGTAATTTTTGTGCATGTTGGTGGAGCTCTTCTTGTTTCCTGCAAAGAAGCCTGATACAATCTGTTCAGATTAGCATTCTTCTTACCTTTACAGCCCAAATGGACTGGTCCAAAGGATGGAAAAGTTTGAAACAGAAGCCATCTTTTTTGGAGGGTCTCTCAATGAGCTCGCAGGAATGAAGCAAAATGGTGCCCACCCACTGTCCAGTCTTTGGAGTTTTATAGATTAGGAGTACTCCAGGTTTTAGTACGCACCACAATTTAGTCCAGCTTTTCAGAGTGCCACGTATCTGGAGAACAAGAATAGGAAGAAATATTCTAAACCAGGGGTGTCAAACTTGTGTCTTCATGGTGGCATCAAATGACGTATCACAACTTTTTTCCCCTTCGCCAAACTAGGCATGGATGTGGCCAGTGCGCAACACATCCGACCCATGGGCTGCAAGTTTGACAGCCCTGGTCTAAACCAATAAACAGCTTTCAGTTATTCTAAGTGTCTTATTTAGATCAACTACATTAAATATTTTGAGGTTTAAACCAAACTTCCAGTTAAACTTTCTGAGAAGAAATTGGAGAGGTTATCTCTTAAAAAGTTAATGAAGAATTTTCCCCTTTGCTCTTAGATTCAAGTGTTTATCCTCAACCCCAAATCACAGTCACGTTTAAACAAGAAGTGCTCCCTTGAATTTGTACAGTCTCTCACTTCTGGCCTAAATGAATCTCTGTATTTGTGCCTTTGGGTTATTCTTGGCTCTTGGGGACTGCCTGGACAAGTCCATGTCATTTTCTTGGCAAGCTTCTTCAGAAGTGATTTGCCACTGCTTGCTTCCTAGGGCTGAGAGACAGGGACTGGCCCAAGGTCACCCAGCTGGGTTTGTGCCTAGGATGACACTCAAATTCAGTCTCCAAGTTTCTAAATTGTTGCCCTAACACTATTCCAAACTGGGTCTCAGGTAGATATTACTGTTGGCTATTTTTGTTATTTATGTTGTGTGTATATGGCAGAAGTGTAAGCCGCTCAGAGTTTACTAATGATTGGAATAGCATTTAGGTACAACCAAACAAATTGTATTTTTTTTAAAGGAAAAGATGGGAATAATAGCTGTAAATCATACAAAAGCAAGGGTGATCTTTGTTAAATAATTCAAGGATGCTATCAGTCCCACTGATAATATTCTTCCTTCTTTTAAACTGTGCTTCATCTCCCGTTTTGCCACAAAAAAAACCTTGGACATGACCTCTATCTTGGTTACGACTTCAAATATATTGCTTGTTTCCCAAGAGGGCTGTTTTAAAGCAGTAAATAAATTTTGGGTAGAAAGCAGTGGCTGAATTATAATGTATAATTCTAAAAACTGTTCAAACTCCTTAGCTACATATTCTTAAAATGGCATTTTGCATCAAATTACCTTCAACCAATCTGCCATAATGACCACACGGGGATCTTTTAAAGCACTAAAGAGCTGCTTGGTGGCTTTTTTCTTCTCCTGCCTGTAGTTTTTTTTCTGGACCTATTATATTATAGAGATAAAATATCAGTTAGGAACACATTTTCTCAGTTTTTCTACTACTCGCAAGAAGGGAGACAAAACAAAGAAGATAGGCTATGTCCCCCCTTTAAAACTTTACAGTTGTATAGCTATTCTAACCAAGAACAACTGTTGCCTGTTGCTCATTCATACAGCCTAACAAATCCTCACAGAATTAGGGGAAAAGTAAACAGGAGTACATATGCTTCCCTGTGTCTTCAGGAATATGATAGATTTTCATTATTAAGAAATAATTTTGAAAATAAATGTTTTAAATTTGAAGAATCTACCAGAAATCTGGAGGTTGAATTATGTAAATATTGGATCCACCAGTCAAAATTAATAGATGTTTAGACAATAGCTACAACTGTCATCGTGGCATGCATAAAAATATGGGCATACTATCAAACAAGGTTCATGACCCTGCAAATAGCTTTATTGTGTACATTATGCAAATAGTTTTAGTAACAAAAACACCTGCTCTCATATTGATATTCTGAAAGAATTCTGAAGAGCCATATACAATAGTGTGTGCACATGGCTGCAACAACAATTGAAAAATTAAGGAACTATAGCTCGGTGGTGACAGGAAATATTGGCCTTCCAGATATTGTGAAACTATAAGTCCCAGTAACGTAGCAGTGGGACCAAAGATTAGGGATGCTAGAAGTTATAGCTTAACATTTACAAAAGATCTTAAATTCAATTCCTGAAATTTCCCACTCAGATAATACGGATATAAAAAGCACCTTAAGTTCCAGTAGACTGTAAAGACTGGATTCATTAATCTAGTGAACAAGACAATCTGCTATACAAAACTATTTAAACTCATTTTGGAGATATATAGCAAGGTCTAAAACATGCAGAATCCAAATTGGAATCAAGTAAATAAACAAATCACAATTATGAAAATTTGAGAATAATAAATGCAAGGCAATTTCAGAGATTAGAAGACATTAGCTGACAAGGCTATTTTGCATACTGTTTTCTGCATGGCGTATATAGTAACATAATGTATATTTGTTTGCCTATGGCAACTGAAGAGTGGTCCGTTTGTCATCCTGCCTGCCTGCCCATCCATTCATCCATCCATCCATCCATCCATCCATCCATCCATCCATCCATCATCTGTCAATCAATGTGGAACAAAGGCTGCAGCTTAATCTTCCATCTACCTTTAATGTTTCCTTCTTGTTATTTCTTCCAGTAGGAGATACACACTCCTTATCAGACCCATTGCAAAATTTGTGCTCAGTCTATCAAAAGAAGAAAAAACAGGAATTGGATAAATATGAAATCATTTTAGAAAAGAGCTTTTTTATGATAATGAACTAAATGGGTTGGTAGGAACATTTGTAATATTGAAACACTGAGAGAATATGGGCACTGTGAAATGGCTACCATGGGAAAGAGCTTCCTATTTAGAAAATATTCACTGTAGATGGACGTGGATGTCACAAAAGCCTCATTTACCAGATGTTAAACGGGTAAGTTTATTCCCTGCCACGGCTGCCATCCTGTCCCTCAATGCACGATGATGATAATGATGATGATTACTGATGATTTAATACATCAACTTATAACTGGTCACTTAGTGACCAGTCAAAATAAAACAGAGCCCGCAAAAGCTACTTATGACCCAGTTCTGAAGTTACAACGCCACACCTAAAGTCATGTGACCATATGTACAACTGTTATGACTAATGGCTATAATTGCCAGGCTCAATTACAGTTGTAAGTCAAGGATTACCTGTCCACATAAACGTTCTCCCCTCCTCCCCCTATCCTTCCACCATGGGGAGAGGAGGGAACACTAGTACAACAAAAACCAAATTGTTAGAAATGTCGGGGTGGTGGTGGAATTTAAAGGTATACAATTTGCATACCTTTGCACACATACAGACAAATTATTACAATATAGTTTTTAAGGAACAAATTGTAACCACATGAAATTATATTGTTCATTCTTTCTATTGCACTGATCGAGATTGTACTGTATATATTTTCATGAAGTTTAGCTTTGGTATCTGGAACACCAGTCTTTTTCCAAGAACACATAACAATCTATTTTGCAATGCTCAAGGAGTGACATTACCACACTTTTTATAAATAGATTCCAATTTGTTAACAGCACATTAATATATTTAAGTCGTATTAGTAAAAACTGATTCACAGTATCAACCAATACAGAAACACCACAAATATAACCAAAGTTATATTTAGCATGCCATAATAGTACATATCTCCAATATAGTGTTAGCATGCCATAATAGTACAAATCTTCAATATAGTAGAGCAGACTAACTTTTTGGGGGACAACGGCTCTCACGGCTCCAATAAATATCCAAAATATGTATAAATTTTATGTATACTAAGAACATTTGCACCAAGACAAATTCCTTGTGCATCCAATCACTCTTGGCCAATAAAGAATTATATTCTATTCTAAATATGACAGATAGGCCTTGACTTATAATCACAATTGAGCCCAACATTTATGTTGTTAAGTGAGATATTTGTTAAGTGAGTTTTGCCCCATTTTATGACCTTTCTCGCCACAGTTATTATGTGAATCACTGCAGTTGATAAGTTAGTAACACAGTTAAGTGAATCTGGCTTCCCCATTGATTTTTCTTGTCAAAAGATCATCACATGACCTTGGGACACAGCAGTGGTCATAAGTATGAACCAGTTGCTAAGCATCTAAATTTTGATTACTTGTTCATGGGGCTGCTACATAAGTCGTAACCGTGAAAAATGGTCATAAGTCACTTTTTTCAGTGCTGTTGTAACTTTGAATGTTCATTAAGTGAACTGTTGTAAGTCGAGGACTACCTGTATTTTGATGAATAATGTTATCTTAAGGTTATAACAAACATATTTAACATTCCTTCTCAATAGTATCTCATTTTACCTTTGATGTGGGGGGAGAAGGAAACACATTTCCAAACACAGCATTGGACTTAAGCTATCTACTGTTTTTATTTTCTAATAACGCCTCTGAAATCTGCAAGTGATCTGGCCTGCTTAAAGCTATTGTGGACTGACATTACATTTGAAAGTCACCTTTAGAAATAAATGGAGATAACAGCAAGGCAATAAAAATATTTACTTTTAGATAGAAGCAGTTCAATGGAAAGAAAATCTAGGCCAAAGATTTACATACACATTATTTATACAGCACAAAAATAGCAAAGATAATCATGCTTTGATAACCACAAATGTTCCTATGTTTGGACTCTAAAAAACAGACACGGGGAGAGATGATAAACATTTTGTTCTTAAAATCATGCTTGCCTAGATTCTCTATTAGCAGAATAAGTTGCCAACAACATCTGACTTGGCTTGATAGCAGATATTGGGGCCAATGCAGTGCACAGGTACTATCAACTCATAAATATAAACACATATCAATATTCATGCTGAGCTGCAGTTGTTGTTATTTGCATTCTGTTCCCACAATTTATTCAGGAAAGAGGCACAACTGCAAGGTCATTTTGGTCCAGACTGTCTAGCTCTCCTCTCCTCTCCAACAATGGCAAAGAAGGTGAACAGCTACAGTAATCAATATATTCTGACTCCCATTTTTAGACTAAGGCCAGACCACTCACTTGGCAACTTAAGTGAAAATGCTGGTTGTGAAGGCAAAGAGATTTTCGTTCCTCCAGTACTCTTCAAAATAGACAAGGGCCAATTAACCACTGACAATTAACCATTTTCCCCCTACAATGCATGAAGATGCTCCATTTAACAGTTTCTCAAGTTTCTCACTGCTGAAGGAGGCTGAAGTCAGATTAAAGTGTTCCTGCACAAAACTAGTTTCCTATTTTATGCCAGCAGAAGGCCTCCTATGAAGTCACTTTAAATTGAATAGAATTGTCTTTGGAAATCAGAAATCAGCTGGCCATGCTCCAATTGGCCCATGGTTGGACTGTCCCTTCCATTCAACTATTAAGCATGGCAAGTTTTCTATGGCCATCAGGGACTAGATACTTCAGTGGCACAGTCAATTATTGTTATTTCTCCCTGTTTTATTGTGGAAATATCAATCTAATGGAACGCAGGCTGCAGATTTACCAAATTACCACTACATCAGTACAACTTGCTGTCATAATCAATCGATCCATCAACCAACCAACCAATCACCCACCCAGGACTTATATGAATTCTCACCTCTATAAAAAAACGTTCCTCTGGAGTTTGTCAGGCATCAATTTTCAGAAAAGCTATATAAACGGTTGCCATTTCTTTAGTGAGATGACAACATGCTCTAGCCATTTGCTTCAGCCTTTGATTCCCATAATGGAAATTCCATTCATTAGGTATACGGGAAGTTTGGGCTGATCCATACTTTACCCTAGCATGGAAATAAGTCATCTATTGTTTCGGAAGAACAGGACTGAATGACATAATTCTCAGCCCAGCTAGCCTGCCAGGAAGGCAGACAATTTCCAATTCTTTTGTTTTTGTGTCAGAAATAGTGCTTTCCCACCTCTGCTCCCACAAGCAGAGCAATCCAGCCCACGAAGCGCTTTGTTGCATTTCACAGATGCCTTTGTGGTTGGTTTATGCTGTGGCTGGAATGCTTCCCCTGTTCTTTGCCTTTGATTGTCATTTCATACTGGATGGCAAGTCTGCCTAATGTGGTGAGGCCGGGACTTTTCTTTTCAAGGTTTAAAAACAGAGCAATCAAATATTAGGTACATTCTCTGTCTTGAGTTACGTATAAAAATAATAATAGCAATAGCAATAGCACTTAGACTTATATTACCGCTTCACAGTGCTTTTACAGCCTCCTCTAAGCGATTTACAGTGTCAGCATATTGTCGCCAACAATCTGGGTTCTCATTTTACTGACCTCGGAAGGATGGAAGGCTGAGTCAATCTTGAGCCAGTCAGGATCGAACTGCCAAATTGCCGGCAGTCAGAAAAAGCAGCCTGCAGAACTGCATTCTAATCACTTGCGCCACTGCACAAGTGGTAGGATATAGGCAGGATATAAATAAAATACATAAAAATGAAATAAAATGCTAGCTATCTCTTGGGGGGTGGTGGTGTTTAAGATATTAGGATTGGAAGAGTTCTGTCTTGTTTGCATTTTGGCTCAAGTGACAGAAGAATGGTAAAACTGTCTCTCTTTTTCCCCCCCTCATTTTAGTCAAAATATATGCTTACAAAAAAGAAAACAATTGCTGCTTAATTTCCTAACTGAATGGAAAAAAGAAATGGAAATCTACCAATCAAGGGATGTGTTAATTTTAGTCTGGATCAAAGTTTTGGCCTCTGTGTGTCTAGAGGACAGTCTTAGGTTCTTACTATGGCTTTAGTAGTTGTTTGATATACAGAAAAACAACAGGCACAGATTTTAATAATGGAATGATACAGAATGCCGCCTGCTGGTTTCTGCAGATGAAGCTTCTATGAAAGCTACTAGAGAAGGAGGTAAGGTCTCTAATACAGATTAAAGAGGCTAAGGAGGTCACTATCAGGGATCCACATATACATGAGCAGGTACATCTAAATCTATGTATTCTAAAAAGTGGAAAAACAAAGGTTAAAATGCCTATTAGAAAAGTGGATAAGAGGCAAAAACATTCTCAGGCTGAGGGCACCACTAAAACTGGCCTTTGAATAATATGCCTTCCCCCCTTGCTGGTGCAGTAGTTAGAATGCAGTATTGCAGGCTAACTCTGCTCACTGCCAGGAGTTCAATCTTCACCAGCTCAGGGTTGACTCAGCCTTCCATTCTTCCGAGGTCAGTAAAATGAGCACCCAGGTTGTTGGGAGCAATATGCTGACTCTGTAAATTGCTTAGAAGGGCTATAAAAGCACTATGAAGAAGCTTTTAAATGCTATTGCTATTGTTAAATAGGACCATCACATGTATTTGATTAAATTTAGTTTACATTTAATTTAACATAAATCAAATCTGTTATATTCTCCATTTTATTACTTTCTCTTTTCTTCCTAAACTTATTTTCCATTCTTTTACCTGAAAATTACAATTTAGTTTCATCTTGTAGAGGTTCAAAGATGGAGCTAAAATCAAAGCTTTGGGGGAATGGAGACTATGTGCCCCTAATGCAGATAATTTCCATCATGCAAAATTAAAGCTTGTTTAAGCTTCTTTAGATATGCAGGAGAATTTTTCTTGTGGTATTTTAAAAAGCAGAGCAACTTCCTCAAAGATCAGAGCATAATTTAGTGGAAATATTACACATACAAACAATGCATGTGTCTTCTTTGTGTATGAAACTAGTGCAAACCCAAGGCAGGTTGGTTTCTAGCCTATACATCAAGAATAACCGCAATCAATTTGCCCTTTAAACAAAGATCGAGGAAATAGCAACAAAACATTGCAGCTAGGCGTAGGGAGTAAGTGGCTGTAAGATTGTCCCCTCATAGCAACAATAATAATCAGGAAATTGAACACCCAACGCTGAATTGTAACCAGCAACAAAGCCATTTATAGTGTAGCGTTTGAACACACAACATTTATACTATGGTTACAGAAACCTCCAAATCAGAACATGAAATAATGACTTGAAGTCAAGGTAGTATGAGAGAGATGTTTTCTCTAGCGGCTTCAGGTGTGAAAGTCCAATTTAATTCAGAATGACTGTCTGAACAGGACTTAATTTAAATTGGACTGATTTGGGCCATTAAACTGCAAGTGCAGAATGTATACAAATTGTCCTGTTTCAATTCTCTGTGTGTTTGATTTGATACATGAAGCTCTTCCAAATTGGTTCACCACAATGAATAGCTACATAGGATTGGTACCTCTCCCATAATTGTCTGGGCAATTTTAACAACCAGGGTCAAACTCAATCAAGTATTTCAAATTAAAGTGATGATCCCCTAGCAGAAGTTTTTATATTTGCTCACCATTGCAAACATTTTTCGCTGCATGACAAACCCTTAGACCTGGGAAAGGGGATGCACTCACCTTTGTACAAGTGGTCCTTCACTTATTACTATAATTGAGCCTGGAATTACAGTCATAAGCCTTTCTGGTCATTAAATGGTTCACCATATAACCACTTCTGATTGTATGACCTTTTTTCCAGCAGTCGTTAAGCAATTATTAAGTGAATCCATTGTCCATAATGCAGAGATTTTTTGCCCAAAATTGGAAGCAAATGCAGATTTCCAGGGAGGAAAAACCCTTATAAATTGTGGTCACGTGACCATGAGACATCGCAAACGGCTGCAAATACAGGGCCATGTTAGGCTGGAACAACAGACCCACCCATCAAGAGTTTAAACTAGCTACTTTATTGTTCTATTGCCTAGTTCAAGGCATTGCCCCAGAGTGGCAGTTTGCTCCTGGGAAAGACTAGATAAAATTCAATGGCATTCAGATCTGAGACTGATCCCCTGCTTGACCCCTCAACTGGAAGAGTCTCTTTCCTATAGCTGCCAAGTGCCCCAAATGCAATCATGTTACCACATGGGGTGTCTCTGTGTATCAGAACTTTGAATCTGGGCCATAAGTAACTCTGGGGATGTCCCTTGTAACTTCAAACAGTCATTAAGTGGCCAGTTCTAAGTCAAGGATTGACTAGCTGTACCGTGCTTTGAATTGATGATCAGATGCCCTTGAATGTCAGAGTAGATAATCATACCCAACAATGGCACAAATTTACTTCTCTCTAGTATAATGCAACAAGGATTTAGTTACAAACACAGGAAATTCACTGTACAGTATTTTATCTATTGACAGGTCATCTTAATGCAAGTTTAATTGGAGCAAGAATTCTCTGTAATCATCGTTACCTTATTAGTAGAGTTTGGTGTCTGAGGAATCTCATCCTTCAGCATGGGCAAACTATTTCCTTCCATATCTTTTCCTGAAACACAACATTAAACAAAACTTTAAGTACTGCTTTACTGTGTTTTTAAAGAAATCAAAAGCAGATATAGTACCCTACAAAAGCTATACCTTAGGGTTATACACTATAGAAAAGCAAGCAGATAATTTTTCCCAAAATGTTTCTTCCAAAAATATTGGATTTTGATTTCTGGAATTCTCCCACCACTATAATCTTTGTTCATATTAGGTAGGAGACTGTTACAAAAGGTGATATCCATCAGGTATAGAGGGCAACAATTTAGGGAATTCTATAGAATGCTACCTTTGTATTATTGTTTGTTTTTAAACGTTTTAGCAACTGTAAACTGCTCAGACTAGCTGGGAGTCTGGTAGCATATAAATTTAACTTCTTAGAATGACTGGGCCTAGAAATTTCAAATCTCCTTTCCCAGCGATCCTCTCGATCTTTTCAAGCTGCGTTCTTCCCTTCTGCTTTAGATTAGCAACTTGGTAGTTCTTACTGTCATTATTTATCTTCCAGGGAAGTACTGCTTAACATCTTTCCAATGTTTCAGAGAGATAATGGTCTCAAAATGCATATTGTCTCTGTAGCGAATAAAAGCTAAAAGCAGAAAAACAAAATAATCTTTACAATGCAGTCTCTTGGCCATGTTTCTCAGTGAAATCTGTCAAGAGGTTTCAGCTCTTTCTCCTCTTGGGAGATTAACTTCATAAGAGATAAATAAAATCCTACTTTGACTTAAAAAGAGAAATAAAAAGTAAACTGTAATAAATATTACATTTAGATATTAAAATATAAAGTTTTTCTATTAAAATATATAAGTATTGCCTTGACCAAAACAATTAAACACAAAATCCATAAGACAATGCAAAATGAATACTACAAGGAGACCAGAACATGGTGAGGGTATGCTACAAATGAAAAATAACTCTTTAAGGAGATTTGAGTACAATCCAACTAGTTACATCAGATCACAAGAATCTACAGAAAAAAAATGAACTTCACGAATGTGCAGTTCCTACTTTTATACCAAGAAATAAAAATCAAGAGATAATAAGGCTCAACTGGCATCACACAAATAAATAAAAATCAAAATTGTAATATAGTTTTCTGGCTACATATGTGACTAGCTCAATACCCGTGCTTCACTATGAAACTATGTGGTGTGGCTTCGTTTTTGGGGAGGAAAATAAGGGGGGGGAAATTCTGCCTCTGCCAACCAGCATCCATTGGTATTCATCTGGCTAGCATCCTGTCAGTGTGTGAGAGAGTTGAGGGCTGTTTAGAAACTGAAGCAGTACTTGCTGTGTGAGCAAGGAGACAGCAAGGAGCCTGGGTGTGGCTTAGCTCAACTGTTCTGTACTAAAGCTGCTTGGTGCTATAAAACTAAAACTGAAACTCCTCTCCTCTGCTTGTGTTTTGCATTTGGAACAGGTTTCTTTTCAGGTGGGGAGGGGGAGTAGAACTTCTTAGCATCAGAGTGTGTTGGTAATAATATACGAAATACTAGTGCTGTGATGGTCATTTCAAAAAAATCATTTCTTAGTGAGCAGCTAGAAGCCAAGGGGAACATACATGCCAAAATTCAAGTTTGTAGGCTTTACGGTTCTGGAGATTTTGTGATGATGTGGAGTGGTATTTTACTTTTACACATATAGATTCATTTTTAACAGATAAATTCCTGAAGAAAAATCCTCTGTGTTCCCTCCTTGCCTTATTTAGCTTCTTGTAGATTCCAATTTTTAATGATAGCTTAGAAGAATATTAGAGACCTCCCTTTTCCCAGGTCTAATGCCCTGCTTCTTCTTCCATACCTATTCCAATTCTTTCTTTGAAGTCCTCCCTTTCTTTTAATAAGGACTTAAATTTAACCATTATTTATAAAGAATGCATATTAATTTCCCCAGTTGCTTTGGGTCAGGATGAGCGGAGATCCCAGTATAGTTCTGGTTACTGTTTAACTGTTTCAGCTAGTTTTAATGGTATGTTGTTTTCCCTAAATTTTTGTTTTACTATTTCTACTTTGCACCCCAAAATCTAACTGTTTGAGTTTGGTATATATATAAATGTTATAAATAGATATGGATCAAGGATGACAGGAGCCCAAACTAAACATATCTGGATAGTCATAGGATGTCCAAGCGTGAGAATTAAACACTTAGAAGATTTTGCAAGAGTGTATACTGACACAATTCTTAACAATAATCAAGAAAATGGCTATGCAAAGGTTAGGTTTTTCAGATCTAGCGAGTTTCTCACTTGCATTCCAAAGTTCACCACACAGAAGTAGTTATAAAAATTCATAAGTGAATTAAATAATGAGATAAATATTTGGAATAATACAATAAAATAGAAAACGTATAAAAGCACTGTTAAGATAAGGAATTGGATATAAAAATTGAATATGTAATCATGGTCATATTTGTATGTATATGTGAAACCTATAATCATGCTGTTCACTAAAAAGAGATGTTAAAATATGGAAAACTAAATAAAACTTGTTTAAAAAAAAACAGAACAGGAACGGTATTTCTTAGTTTAGAGCAGTTTTTTTTTCAAACTTGAAAGGTTTAAGATGTGTGGATTTCAACTCCCAGAATTCCCCAACTAGCAATTCTGCAATTTGAAATTCACATAGTTTAGAACTCCCAGCTTTGAAAAGCACTGGATTAGAGAGTTTCTAAATTTGGTGACTGGTTGTTTTGATAAAAGTGTATTCACGGTTTCTTTTTCCACGTAGAATGATTGTTTTCTTGAAAAGGTTGCAAAGTTGTAACTGCTAAAGGTCTAAAGTAAAAATAAACTTTTGCCGGATGTCAAGTCAACCTCCCCCCTCCCCACAAAAAGAAGTAGGTATAAAAATTGTGGCTCAAAACACAGCACTAAGTTTCTCAAAACATGGTCAGGACTATTTTGTCCATATCAGAAGCTGGAGCTTATGCACAAATCCTTTCAAATACAAAACTAGTCTTTTTTGTCTCAAATATTTTTGTGCCAGTTAGAAAAGATAAAGTGTTTTATTGGTGCCATCAAATCATCAGGAGTTGGAAATTCTTCCAGATCTGCTGTCGCAAATTACAAGAAATGCTCAAAAGTCTTGATTTCCCATTTCTCCATCTCCACTGTATAGCACATTTTAAAATCTACTAGAACACACTCACCTGGGCTAATGGGATAGATCTCATTATCAGCCCCCAAAAACAAGTTCCGGGTCAGCTTGCGAGGATCAATTTTCTGAGGTGTAGATGCAGCAGGACAGAGTGAGAACCTTCGCCGAAAAATGTTTTCTTCCTTCATGGCATGTGCTGTAGGGGTTTTCTGAAATTAAGAGATTAAAAACCATCACATGTAGCTAAATAACATATTCGGGATTTTGCTGTTTATTTTTTTGCTTGCTTAAATCAATCTATTGTTAAATTAAAACACTGGCTTTTTAAAAACAAAACCAAACAAATAACTTAAAATAATATGACAAATATGCCAACAACGGAGTTTAATATTTTAATATTTATTTTAATAACCTCAGTATTACACCTCATCTATTCAACCAAATGCAGCCTAAAATTAGTTTTGGTCAGGCAGGTTTAATTTAAAATACACTATTTGTTCCATGCCTGCTACCCAAACCAGGAGAAATCAAGATGCTTCTCCTATTTCCATTTCTGCTTCTTATATAAGTTCTTGACTGTACTGTCCAAACTAGAAGGCAATGCCTATTTTTCACAACCACAGAAAATGGCTCTTCGAGCTTTAAATCATACGAGTCTCTGATTTTTCCTAAAGATTTCAGGTCAGAAAATTTTTATCAACCCATCAGTAAAAAAAAAAAGACTGGCCTGATTAGGTTAAAGGCCAGCCATTCTGTTCTGAAATAATCAGCTATTGATTATGTGGTGCCCACTAAATACATCAAGTTCAAATATTTTGCCTATCAAATGAGAAGAGAGGACTCCTTGGAAAAGACTCTGATGTTGAGAAAGGCGGAAGGCAAAAGGAGAAGGGGAAGGCAGAGGATGAGATGGTTAAATAGAGTCATCCACAAAATGAACATAGATTTGGGCAGACTCCCAGAGACGGAGGTGGGGAGGACAGGGGAGCTTGGCATGCTGTGATCAATGGGGTCACGAAGAGTCAGATCTAACTTCAGAATCTTAACAACAAAAATAACAACGACACATCTCAAGAATAAAATCTGATTAACGTTTAGTTAAAAACATAACTACAATGTATTGCTTTGCTTATCACATAAAGCCTAATTAATGTCTGGATGTTCATATTGTGTAAAAATGTCATGCAACCTATGATTCCAAAATTCCTAGGCAATGACTACGCATTGTAACCTGCTATGAGGTGACTTCTAAATGGAAGGCAATGGTATAATGCCATAATTATATAGTGTTTAATTTTTCTTTTAATATTTTATTTTTTTTGTGTGTGTGTGAGTGTTTCAATTACTACTATTGAAGGAGAACTGAGTAAAACCATCTTAGAGACCCTAGAAGGCCAGTCTAGCTAGATTTAATCCAATCTAGCCAAATAATTATTGGTTAATATCTAATTTATAAGACTATAAATTAAAGATTGTTTGTGCTAGTTTTCCTGTTTTAATACAAGAAACAAAACAAGAAAATCTGGGAATACTTTTTCCTTCTCACATTTTTGCTACAGTGTACCATTAACAATATAGCAAATAGTCAGCAAAACATAAACGTAATACTGAATGTATAAGATGTTGGGAATGGTTAAAAATCATGAGCTATAAAATAATACTCTTCTTACAGGTGCAATTTTTTGCAACGGAACATATACTGCTAAATTACACTGGAGATAAAAACAAATTTCTTTTAAAAACAGGCTTATCTTCAAAATACAAATCAGAAGAATTAACATGCTTTCAAGTAAACACTAAAAAAATGTTTCATAAAATTAATTAATCTTTTAAGGTGGAGATCTAACAATATTAGTACTCATAGTTTTACCAAGAGAAATACAAAAGAGCAACCAAACGTTTCACAGTCTTTTATTATTGTGTACACAACAGAGAGACTCTTAAAAGTACAAGGCAGGAAACAGAAGATAATTCAAACGGCCTTTTGCTAAGCTGTTCCAAAAAACTGACAATAAACCTAATGAGTTCCAGACATTTCAGATCTTATTTTTTTATCATGGGATTTATAAAAATGACATTGCTGAGCTAAGCCAACTTTCCGTTTTAGAAGCAACAGATTATCCTTCCATATGCTCCTTTTTATCATAGCTGTTTGGGAGCAATGTGTTTGCTGTTTCCGATGTGCGTCAACCACATTGCTCTTATGTGATAAAATGCAGAAATCATACAGAAAAGGTAGGATCATGCAGGATCAATTACTGAAAAGATTACCTGGGTGGTAATGTCAATGGAATAATAATTTTCTTCTCTTCCTTGATGCTCCCACGTTTTCTCTCTTAGGTTCTAGAATGGGAGATGGGCCAAAAATCTCAAACTTCCTGTATTAAACTTCTGCTCTCTCATTCAATCATTTTATTAAATTCTGTAAATTTTAAATTCACAGACCTTTCATATGGCATTTCAGTGGCTCTTAAAAGGCAAATGGGAGAGGTTAATCTGAAGGGGCACAAGATTATATTACGTAACCACCACCTCATCACTTCAACATGGATGGCAAGAAGAGAAGCTACAATTAATTTCTTCCCTGAAATACAATAATCTTCTATAGTAATTCAGAATTCCCAATGAAAGGATCTTAAAGATACCAAAAACTATTAACTGTTGTGTATGATGGTGGGGAACATTTTTTTATCTCCATAAATTGAAAGAAAGCATAATTGAGTTACAGCCCTGCACAGAGCCTTAATGCGGTTTGTTTACTATTATTTTATTTATTCTATTTTTGCATGTATAACTTCCCATCTCACATCTGTCACTGAGCAACTCACAACTATTAAAAACAAGACTAAATATAGCAAAACATAGAATTGTATATACTATTAAAACTCAAACACAAAACATAAACATAGCAGATGAATGCAAGCCATACATCCCATTCATTATAACCATTGAAAAGGCTCATTGGTCCTACCAAACTCCCAAGCATGATGGCACAGGCCAGAATGGTAGAAGTCACTTTAAATTCCAGGTGAAATAATGTTCATTAAAAATTTCAATTTTATAAAAGATAGATAAAAAGAAAAAAGTGTAAACAAAACAGGAAAAGAAAACTAAAATTAATAAATAAATGACTTTCTACTTTCTTAATAGATAACTACAATCTTATTCCTACAATCTTAATGTATGTTGCTAAGTGAGAAATTCATTAAGTGAGTTTTGTCCCTTTTATAACCTTTTCTTGCCACATTTGTTAAGTGAAGTTGTTAAAATTAGTAACACAATTATTAAAGTGAATCTGACTTCCCTATTGACTGCTTGTCAGAAGGTTGCAAAGGGTGACCACGTGACTCCGGGACACTGCAATCGTCATAAATGTGAGTCAACTGTCAAGCATCCGAATTTAAATCTCATAATCATGGGGATGCTGCAATGGTCATAAGTGTGAAAAATGGTCATAAGTCAGTTTTTTTCAGTGCCACTGTAACTTTGAATGGTCACTAAGCTAAGAGCTATAAATCAAGAACTACCTGCAATCTTGCTGCAGAGACTACAGTATACATAATATCAATCTATCATGAATGTTTTTCTCATTCACTGTCCAGGAATGATATTCAAGGCAGAAAAGGATCTCTTTCTTCCTGGGTCCCCATCAGATGACATTCTTTGGTGAACAAGATTTTTAAAATACCTTTCCTGTCAAATCTGATGGGATATGGGTAGATCCAACCTGAGAAAGGAGGTCCCTCTAATATCCTAGTAGTCCTATGCCATTGTGCTTGGTAAATTCATAAGGATTAGTGTTATGGGTAAAACCCACTCCCCAAAAAACCCCTTTTATATCGCCAATTCTGGAACCAAGTATTCAGTAAACTGCAAAGTGTGCGTTTCTAACCTCTGTATTCACATGACCTACAGATCTCTCCAGCCATCACATTTGCCCCGACTAACTTAGTGGGTTGTCACTTAGCAGTCAAAAACACAAGGACAGAAAGCTCTAGCAACACAGAAGAAAACCAGGTGTCTTTTGTGCAACCGTATTACAGGGCTCCGGGGGGACAGGACGTTAAACCATTTAATTTTACAGAACAGGACTGCTGTGTGGATGTAAGAATTAAGGAGTATTCTCAACAAGTCAAATGTTCCCGTTTTGCTGCCCCTTTTTTTGGAGTCTAGTGCTCATTTCATGAAATCAATCATCAATATATCCCATTAATTATATAAAGATGAAGGTTCCCTTCATTAAGAAGAGTTCATTGTTCAGCCTCTGTCTAGTGGGGAATGAACTCAACTTGTCTTGCAAGCAAAACAAAGAGGATTTAGACATTAGTCTCGTTCTTCAACCTCCTCCTCATGTTCCAGATTTAAAGTTTAGGCAAAATGTCTTAGGAATCTTTTTTATTATTACAGTATTCAATGTCGATTTGTAACCAGATTGGTTTAGATACAGCCAAACAAGATAGAAAAGGAAAAAAGAACAAAATGCAAAGCATGTTAGAATATATTCAAAACTATATTCGATGCAGAGAGTAAAGAAGGAACAAGCAACCATACTGATATACAATCTCAAACCTAACCTAATTTCATTACACCCTAGTGCTGAACACAACTATGGTTCTTCAGAAACACTTTCCCCCTTGATTAGTTAATGGCTAGTTTCACAAATTATATTGTGATATAATGCCATTAATTTTATTTTGACTTGTGTAATGTGTGAATTCACTACTGTAGTTTGAAATTTATGTTTTATGGTTCTAAGAATTAAAAGGGCCTAATTAATTGCAGTTTATTTGATGAACAATGGTTAAGCAAATGGTAGAATAACATACCCCCTTAATGTATCCAGGTTAAAAAAAACCTAATTCTATAAAGAAAGAAGTCCTACTGAGTTAACAAGGCTACAACAGTTCAATTTCATTCCTAGTTATTTGGAGATACAACTCCTAAAATTAAATGGGATTTGCTTTTGTAACACAAATAGGATTTCCCTGTTAAAAAAATCATACCGCTTTCTTTCAACACCTCTGTTGTATTTCATTTTAGCATCTTAAAATTTATTAATAAAACATGTGCATATGTTTTATTCAATAAGACCATTTCTGGGTACTCCATTTGAGTATTTCATAAATGTAGGGTAATAATATGGTTTGCACGCAGACTTCAAGCATTTCTTAAAGTAACGGCTGCTTTCTGCCATATTATTAATCTACTT